ATTTACTGAGGGACGTTTGATATAGAAGCATAGCCTAATTTTTATTGGAGGTACTGAAATTTTCTTTGTTCAACAGATGTGCAGGCGCAGGGCATATACGCGATGATATTCTTTACTATTGTAAAGAATTTGAGAAGTTTACTGACGGCGATGATGAGGAACGTGCCTATCTTATGGACATGGGTATCAAGGCTTTGAGGTATTCTTTGCTTTCCTGTTGTATTTTCCCTTTTCCCTTTGAGTCCTTTAAATGTTACGTGCAGAATGGGTGTGGACTTAGGTGGTTATTTATACATACGGTGGGGATTAACCAATTGTAGTGTTTTTTTAAGTCAGTCAATAGTGCTCTTAGAATTGATACAACTATTAAATTATTTTTAACCGAATTCTATAAAATTTAAACAGGAATATACTATGTAATGACTAATGTAATAATAAGCTTCTTGAAAAAGTATAATATATTATATGCTAATTTTACCACATTTAAACAATGTTGGATTAATGAGTTTTTTGAACATGCATGGTTTAATAGGAAGGGTCTTGCTAATGATTTCTATATAGGGAATTAGTTAAAAAATTAATTAATTTTTTTGATTGATGAGTATAACCTTCAATCCCTTGGTTTCAGTAAAACCTGTTATTGTTGATTCTTTGTTCTGTGACTTATCACACTTGTTAGCATAATCTGAAATTTTTGAGAATGATAAGCATGATATAGTTTCAACCCAATTCAATGATAGATTTGGTAAGATGTTAGTTTCATAAAACTGTCAACCCTCTATCTATCTAGTTATATCTACAAGACAGTCGGGCGAATGGTGGCTTTATCTTTTTGCATGTTAATACTGGTGATTACAACCATTTTACGTATCACCTTTGTTTGCAGGCGGTATTTTTTTCTTATCACATTCAGATCTTACCTTTACTGCACCGCACCGTCCAATATGGAATTTGCTGCATGGATGGATGCAAGGCCTGAACTTGGCCATCTATGTAACAATCTTAGAATTGATAAATAATGTAGCAATGCTGATAATCATGTCAATGTATAGTTGGCAGTTGCTGTTTTGCAGTTTGTAATATACAACCTTTTTCCCCAATGTTGTAAAATTCAGAAGGGTTTTGGTAGTTAGCGAACTGCGCTCGTAGTTGTAGGCTAAAGCCATTGTATACTTCTGTCAGCTTCTTGTGTTCTACCTGTATGTTATGAAAAGCTGGCTCCGAAGTCGGTGTACATACAGCACATAACTGTTGGAGGAGTAACATTTACTTGCTTCCTGCCCTCGCTGGACTCATTGGTCACTCTATTTTGAGACGTTTAATATCCCTTATGGTATGTCTATTTCATCGAGATTTTAATATAGGTATAGTTCATTAGATTAATTAGTCTGTCTTTGATTACTAATTTCAATCCATTGAACTGTAGAGAGGTGGATCTATTTTATGATTCTACCCAAGAGCTTGATATGAATCATATGATTAGAATGAAATCCTATTCCCCATTCCCCTGCTGTGCTAATTTTATGCCACTCTGATTTATACTTTAGTTGATAACTAAGTAACTAACTGATAAATGTTAATCTTATGCTCTGTACACGACCGAATATATAAAATAATATTGTTAAGTAAATTTTTTGAGGAAAATGTTGGTAGTAGATTATAGTGAGGCATAGTAAGGAAATTATGCTATAACCAAAATGCGCATTTATTGATTAAAGAAATTAATTTGATTTTCCCATTTCTATTTTCATTATGAATGAAGATTAATCATGTTCGATTAGCGACCTGTAAGAATAATGTATCGACAATTTAAAGAGTATTTTGCTACTCCCCGTCTCTAAGGGGATTCTCATTGCACCCATATTTTTCTCAAAAACTATATGTACGCCAAACATTGTCCTTTATTGAAAGGAAGCATTCGAACACACTGTTGGAAAGGAAGCTTCTGGAGCTTGCGTTTATGACACAACCAACCTTTCCCTCTCATTTCAATATTCAGTGGAAGCGAACACCAAAATCAAAAATCATAAAAAGTTCATTTAAAAAAAAAAATCTAAATTAGATATATTGCTAAAAGTCAAATAAAATATAAACAAGTTATATGATGTGTTAAATTTTATAGTGTATTTGTTGTTTGAATAGCTTAGGAGATGGGGAAATAAGGTAGGTGTTTGCTGACGTATGTGCATTTGGTGGAAAAATTATGACAAAATATTTATTTTGATCTTTTAACTATAGGTTATGGTTTACTTTGGTTCTTTTTTTTTTTTTTTTGTCAAATTGATTTTTTAATTTTCAAAACGATGCAAATAAGTTTCTTCCATCTAATTCGTTAGTCAAACTCTTAAAAATCTTCGTGACATATTTGATCAATTATTGTGACGGAGTTAGCGTCGGAAAATTTGACGCTAAAAATTATTTATGGATTTTGATTATTATTGTTCATCTTCTCCAAATTTTTAACAATAAAATCTTAACCATTAAATCAATCATAAATTTTTACAAGATTGAAATAATTTACAAAATATTGAAACAAATACAGAATGCAGAAACATTGAAAGAGTTTTCCTTTTCACATTTACAAAACCCTCACTCTAATTATGACTTTTTACAATATTGAAACAATTTACAAAATATTGAAACAAATTTACAGCGTTGTTCAAGAATCAACAGAGTAGACAACTGTTCATCAAACAATTGAGTCTCTCAAGAAGTGCTCGAGGCGGCGGCGGAGAAGCGACACCGTTGCTTTCAGTTTCCACCGATGACAGTTCTCTCGTTTCTGTTTCTCTCTGATTTCAGATCTCGAAATATTTGAAGTGATTGAGTTTGAGTGTTAAATTGTTAATTGTATTGTTGATTGGTTATGGTGACAAGGGAACTGTGGCAAAGAAGACAAGAGTCAAATCAGTAACCACCGCCCTCATTCCTTCCTTCACATCCAATTACCAAAATGTCCCTCCCGCTCTTATCTCATTCAAGACAGTTGTCTAGTCCACTTCAGTATTACTATAATAATAGTAAAAATTCAGAAATTGTTATTATTCAACGCTGTAAATTTGTTTCAATATTTTGTAAACCTCTTCAGATTCCTTCTCCTCCACCTCTTCATCAAACATCAACCCCTGCTGACTAGAACCACTCTCAAGAACCAGATTTTTATCTTTCAAGAATCAGATTTAAAGTTTAAGTTCGGTGTTCTCTCGTGAGAGTTTTGTAAATGTGAAAAGGAAAACTCTTTCAATATTTTTGCATTCTGTATTTGTTTCAATGTTTTATAAATTGTTTCAATATTGTAAAAAATTGTGGCTGATTCAATGGTTAGGGTTTCATTGTTAAAAATTTGGGGAAGAAGATGAACAATAATAGTCAAAATCCAGAAATAGCTTTTAGCGTCGTTTTTTCCGACGCTAACTCCGTTAGAATAGTTGGCCAAATGTGCCACGTAAATTTTTAACAGACTTTGGCGAACAGAGTAGACATAAAGGACTTGTTTGCATCGTTTTGAAAATTAAAGAATCAATTTGGCACGAAAAAAAGATAAGGAACCAAAATGAATTATGACCTATAGTTAAGGGACCAAAATAGATATTTTGCCAAAAATTATCAAAAACATATCCCTAAGATTTTCTACCGAATACATTCCTACAGGTTGCATCTGAAAGCTTTGTTTCATGAAGGAGTAATGCTGAATTTTTAGGTGGTCTTCATAAATATGAGATGTAATTAAAATTATTTTATCTTTTAATGTAATATTTTCTACAACGTTAAGTATGACTTTTTTTATTAAAAATAAAATATCTTTTAGTGTTGTAATCACAAATGAGAATTTCTTAATGCACCTCATACTAGAATACCGTATGAAAATATAGTTATGTCCTCAGGTTCCGAAGATATCTTTGGAGATACTAAAATTCAAAACAATTTTTAATCAATAGAGGATTAACCGGAGATACATCTACCTATACCTTATGTAGATACATCTTCGGACACACCAAAATTTATTACAAATTTGAATCAGACCCAAACTCCACGTGCAAATATTTTGAAGATACATATTTGAAAAGTTTACGTAGATGCATCTCTGGATGTTTTTCGTTCAAATACACGTCAGAAGCCCTCTCACCTTCCTCACTTACTCAAACTCTCTTAAAACTCCATTTTATCAAACTCTCTCAAACTCCATTTTTCAAATTCTATCAAAGCACACTCAAGTAACATCAAAGAGCATCAATCAACTTCAAACATCCAACTTCAAGCAACAACAAGCAACTTCAAGACACTAATTGTAAGTTTTTTGTAAAATTTATTAATTTTTTGTTTACATGTGTAGAAGTTGATGTTTATGCTATGAAATAGAAATATTTTACATGTTTGATAGCTTATACCTTATTAGAAACGAGTTAGATATGTATTTCTTATAATCAATGCATTGATTTTGATGATTTTGGGGACTGCATTCCGCCAGTGATAGTGGTTATAGTTACAGGAAATTACGGATATGCATTTTCAGAGTTTTGCAATATTTACCCAGAAATCAGAGATACATCTCCATAATCAGCCTGTCTATAATGCTTTGCCTTTTTTTTGTACAGAACTCACCGTGTAACGCTTGTCTTGTCTATTTACAGGAATTACGGATGAAAAACAATCCCGATTGAGACACAACAAGATTTCACAATATGCATTCGTTCAGAGGGAAAAGAGTCAACCATCGCAGACTCCTGTTACATCTAGCTCGGTTGATGCAGAGGCTTCAGGTTCCAAGGCTCATGTATCTCCACCTTATTTTTCCTCTTTTCGTAGCAGGCGAGGGTCCCCTCCTCATGCATCCCCCCCTCAATCTTCTCGTAGATGACTGGATTCACCTATTCAGGCATCAGACATACCTGAGGTACCTCAGACACTAGAGGCACCCCAGGCACAGGCGGCAACTAAGACACCCCAGGGTTTTAGAGGAGGCCCGTCAGACTTATCATTGTTGCCTCTTTACCCAGACCATGTTTCTAGACATATTTGGGACAGAGGTAAAACTTAGTTGGATTTATTCATGAAGTTGTATGTGTTTTATTATTAAATTTTGTTTCTTGGAATCATTCTTATTAAACTATGTATGCAGGAGCGTGATCCGCTAAAATTCATCAACCATATACGAAAGGTTACTCGCATGGTTCTACCTAATGAGCAGTGGTTTCAGGAAGTCTTGCAGCTATTAAGGATGCGAGACTTATGCAAGACCGATTATGTTACAGTTAACCATGGTATGCTTAATGCGTTTGTAGATAGATGCCACATGGAGACATCATAATTTCATCTAACACATGGTAAGATGTCTATCACACTGGACGATGTCTCGTGTTTGTTGCATCTTCCCGTTAGGGAGAGACTTTTGGATCATGTGAAGATTACCAAAGACGAGGAACTGAAGTTGATGGTAAATTTTCTAAGAGTTGACCCATAGGCTGCCATGAAGGAGCTTGATTTCACTCGCGGGCTCATGCTAGGTTTATCTACTTGTACTCTAAGTTATTTGAAGGTTGTATGTGATAGACAAAGTAGGTGACAAATAATATCACACTTTCAACGATAGAATTTCATAGTCTTTTAATGCTTATTCACTAGTGCAGAAATGACTTTTTACATCGGGCGAAACAAACTTTTTACATCGGTTTTGGGTCCGATGTAAAGTCAGGCGATATAGTAAATCAGAGACTTTTTACATCGGTTATGGGTCCGATGTAAAAAGTCTCTTTTTTACATCGGTTATGATCAAAGACTGATGTAAAAAACAATTATAACATTATTTTAAAAAAATTGACGCAACATTTTACATCGGTTAAACGTGTGGACCGATGTAAAAAGTCCATTTTTTACATCGGTTGTCATCTAAGCCCGATGTAATATATACAGTTTTGAAAGTTTTTACATCAGTTGGGAGTAATAACCGATGTAAAATGTAAGAAATTTTTTTAGAATAAATTATTTATTTTCTGGATGTTTCTCTGTAAAAAAAAATTGGTACCCATTTTTTTCATATTTTTCCAATATCACACAGACTATATTTAGGTCGCTATATATATGTCATAGTTTTCCAACATCACATAGACCACATCTAGGTCGATATTTTCATATTTTTCACAATAAATTTACAAAATGAACAATTATATTGCAAACTTGTATTGTATCACAACAAACAAACTCACAACAAACTTACAAATATATATTCTTCACAAAACATACAAAAATATTCAACTATTTATAAGTCTTTTTCCAAACTTGAATTACCAATATAAAATCCACAAGTAGATGAGTTATAACTTCGGTAGACAACACCAAAATCACATTGCCTGACAATAAATAATAACAATTAACATCAGCAAAAAATATCAAGAAACTCAATACATATGCAAAAACCACATGTAATGTACAAAAACTCAATAGTAACAATTATGTGCAAAAACCACAACTTAGACAATTCTATAAAACTCACCAGATAAACTTAATTTTTATATAACTCAAAGAAACATTTTGCCCAACGGAGTCACAAATCATACAAATCATCTTGTGTTAATTCTGTTGGATCATCAAATACCTATAATACATAAATATAACAATATAGAGTTATTCTTTAAAAATTCATATTAAGTCGAAAAACAAAAAGTAAATAACAAAATAAAGTTATTTTTATTACCCGCATCCAATTCTCGGTTATATTGGCAGAGACAATATCCAACATATTTTTCATCACATAGTATCCACAATCATTAGAGTTATGTTGTTGCATTGTCTACAATTGAATGACATAATTAGTGAATATTTATCATAAATTTAACTATAGAATTACAATTTACATCACACTTACATTGGGATGAAGCCATGTAGCCTTTTTTCTATTTCCATTTGCCATTTGATGAATCTCAAAAAAACTAATACAAAAAGATAAACATCACATAACTAAATTTACTCGCCAATGAAAAATCACATAACTATTAGTTGCCAATGAAAGTCACATGAAAGATAAGCCTACTTTGTAATATTTTTCTTCGTGTTCTGGTCAATTTCCCGATGAAGTGAACAAAATACGACAACTAAATTGTCTCTTGGACACATGACTATTAATTGTCAATGTCTCTTGTACGTGTGTGTGGAAACAGAAAAGTCACATAAAATATATATGTTATCAAAATTAAATAATATAAAACACAATTTCATAAAAATTCTTACCCATGAATTAATGGTAGTAAGTGGCACACTCTGTTTTCATCACGTAACTTTTCTAGTACGTAATTTTTAACATCCTCTTGAGATTTCGCTCCATTATCATTATAAATACACCTAGCAGGGTCCATAAATCCATATAATCCTGAAATGGAATTCTCAAGACATACACGATGAATATACTTGAATAATTTTAAAATAAACATTAGAATTAAAGTGATGAGAGATATAACATATTAATAGAGATTGACTTTAATAAAACAATAAAATGTACTTACGTGCACCAAATTTGCAGAATAGACACGTCAAGCCAATGACCTAAATCCACCAATAACTCTCTGATACACTTAGCTGAAATATAAAAATTAGAGACACTCGCACAATGACTTAATTGTATTTCGAAATTGTTATCATCCATTTTCAAAACCATGAGTAACAATCTCTGAACATCATCAACTTCCACGTCTTTTGTACTTCATTTTGTGCTTCCTTTTGCAGATGAACAACTTCCTTTTCTGCTTCCATTGATAATTTCCATTTTTTAAATGCATTTAATATTATCTGTGCGAAAGGAGCTGTTGAACATCTTCGTAGTTCCACCTATCTTTTTTGCTATTGATCTTTCCCTAGTTGATCCAGAGTCTACGGGAATTGGTTCCGATCCTACTATTGTTTCCACTCCCGATGACCTTGCAACTGATTTACCCTGATTTTCTTTTCATTTCATGCATGACATATCATAACACTTGCATTTTAGTTAATTATTGTCACTTTGGGTTGACTAGCTTTTTTGTGATATTGACTCTATATTTTGATTATGTACAATGTGACAAGATTTAGTCACGCGTTTTGTGGTATCTCTGTTATTCAAATATGCTATCTTTATCTTGATCTTTTTTCTTAAATTGCATTATGTGTGGTAGTTGCTATCATATGCGATTTTTGTGGTGTATGTTTAGTTTACTAGTATGACATTTCTATTATCGAATTTTATGTTACCATCGACTTAACTATTTGAATTTTCTCTCTCTTTTTTTTTATATTTGTCAAAGGGGGAGAAGTTTTCAAGATATTATCAATATTCACGCATATTAAGTGTTTAGTGTGGGGGAAGCTTTAGAGATCAAGCGATGTGTTGTACGCTCATCTATAATTTTCACTAAGGAAACTCACCAGATTCATTTTATCTTCAAATTCCAAATAATCGATCAAATAAGTTGGTTAACAATAATATCTCCAAATTTTCCAAACATAAAAAGGGGAGACTAAAAGTGAAATCACATTATCATATGGTATCATATTATTTGTTGTGATGTTTTTATCAATTTGAGTGTATATGTTATAGCTTGTTTACTTATTTGTAATTTGATTTATTCAAATATTCACGTGCTTGTATTTCATTCGCATTTGAGCTGTGTGTGTTTGCATAATATATTTAGCATTGTACCATTAAGACCCTTCATTACTAAATAAAATTAGATAGTTGATCCATGTAGTTTTCCTTTTTTCGCCTAGCAAATTCCTCCTTTTCTGTTTCATCAGGCGTGGCTTGAATCACAAGTTAGAACTCTTAGATTAAGCTGAAAAGTCATTTGATTCGAATCAAGTGTTATGTGTCACTCAAATCACGAACTTTGTGAAAATTGGAATTTTCCTCTGAACAATTTGACTCGAATCACAAAATTAACCTGACTCGAATCATAACCTTATGTGATTCAAATCATGTTGTAATCTTGACTCGAATCAAAACTCTCTATGAAGCTTAAATTGAGCTCTGCTTAATTTGACTTGAATCATGAGGTTAACTTGACTTGAATCACAACACTTTGTGACTTGAATTATGATTTCTTCTTGACTTGAATCATTTCTTCACAAATCTAATTTTCCTACTTAGGTTTAAATAGTTGTTTCTTTGATCCAAAACAAAAAGGGTGAAACAGTGTGGGTGAAACCCATAGAGAAAAATATCAATTTGTCTTCTCTTCTCTAGTGTGTCTACTCCTAACATATTCAATATTTCTCATGTTTTCTAGAACAACTTCGTGAGTGTTAATCCATGTTAGATTCACTTCTTTTTGTTGCACTTTTTCTTGTACAATTTGTTGTTGTTTGAGAGAAATTAGAGAGAGTGAGTTAATCAATCTTGTAGTGATTCATGGTTGATCAAACTCATGATATCCATCAAAATCCAATACCTATTTATCCAGAAATTAGAGAGAACCTTGTATGTACATTCTTTTTCACCTACATATATTTCCTTAATTAAAACCTTGTGAGTTAGAATGTTTGTGAGATTCATTGGATTGTTCACCATCTTCATCGTTATTTATTTTCCATTATTGTGGACCTTCATCTCTAAAGATTGAATGCTAAGGGAGACTGAAGGTACATTGTATGGAGTTTACTATTTGTAACAGGTCTAAATATCATTTATTGAATGTAGTTTGACTCTTATTGGTATCTATCAAAAAGAGAGTTTCGGTATACTCCATGAAAGACTTTGGAGAAGTTAAGTACACATTGTTTGTAAGGTGGAGTTGGAATTTGTCCAACTTTGGTGATATTGTGGAAAGACTGACCAAAGGTAAATTTGAGAGTGGTCTAATCAATGCTTAGCTAATGACAATTGCTCATACAAGAAATCATTGGGATCGGGTGGATTGCCACAAACGAATACTTGGAGCAGGTTATTGTGGATGGCAAGGTTATTGGATCAAGATATTTGGGGATCTTGTTTTGTTAGCATTTTGAGTGTCTGCATCAACATAGGAAATTATCGCATGATAGTTCGTTTCAATCAAAATACTTGTCAAATTTATCAAAATAGTGGAAGATCGTGATTATTTCTCGGTGGTTCTTTAGGACCATTGAAGAGTTGATTAGACAAAGCGAATAATAATGTCGAACCACTATATATCTTTGTGTATCTTTTCTCTCTTTCATTACCTCCTTTAATTTTATAGCATTCATCAATATTACTATTGCGTTAGTGCATTATTGCATCGTTTGTATGTCACTTAGGTTAAACCATGCTGATAGAGATTTAGAGAAGTGTTGAAAAAATAGTGTTCTTAGCATTTCTCAGAGATTTAATGTATGAGCTTAGGTTTTCGATGTATCAATCTTATTGGATCATCTTAAGTCCAATTATGTATTGAATGAACATCTATGTAAAATATTTTTAAATTGCTTTGTTTAAAGTGGCTTTGGATATCTTGTAATTGACTTGCATTAAAAGTAATAAAGACATTAATATCTTGTAATATTTCAGTTGGTTTAGTTCATTGAAATGCTTCAGAGCTCTCTTAATGTTGCGTTTTATTTTTGCGTTACTTAAAATTTCTGATTTCGTTTATGAGATCTAAAATATTTTTAAGATTGTCTTTTAGAGGATAGATCTATTGAACCCCTTGATAGATCTTTTTGTGTCTATATTCTCCTTCAACAAATTTTTTTGGAAGAAGCTTCTGATTTACTTTTTTGTCACATCGCTTCTTCCCCATTCTGTTTCTTGGGAATTCCGGTGGGTTCTAATCCAAAAAATGCGCAACACTTGGAAACCAACTCCGGAAAAGGTTGGTAGGCATTTGTCGACCTGGTGGAAGGGTGGTGTTTTTAAGGGTTCAATTCCGATCTATTTGTGAGAATTTATAAAAATTCAAAGAACCTTTTTGTAGGAGGATCCGAAGATAAAAAAAGAATCAACTGGGTCAGTTGGGATTTAATCTGTAAAGCTAATGATAAAGGTGGGTTTGGGGTGAAAATTACGACAAGTTTAATACTCTATGGTGCTAATGAGTAAATAGTGATATAAAGAAGCAGACTTCGATTGTTTTATTTTGAGAAAGAGGAAAACCTTTCTATATTGCTTGTTAAATAAAATACACTCTTGATCCTTATATAAACCCAACGACTTTTACAATTCATAAAAGATAACTGCTACTAATAAAAACTATCATAACTTACTAACTTTTGTCCTTCCAAATTACATTGGTTCTTAATCTTCCTACTACCTTATTTAATTATGAAAACTGATTATTAATGACATTAAAGTTTACTCAACAAAACTCCTCTGTAAACTTAAACGTTTCTTCCATCCAGCATTCCTATCATCTTCTTGCCTCTGTCGTAGATCTCTTTCGATAGTGGTTTTGTGAAAATATCCGCTGCTTGGTTTTTGCTTGTTACATGCCTCAATTCGACACTTACCTCCTTCACAAGTTCACGAATGAAGTGAAATCGAACATCAATGTGTTTGCTTCGTTCATGATTCACTGGATTCTTTGCCAATTTGATAGCTGATTTATTGTCCACTTGTATTATTGTTGGACCTTCCTGCTTTAGCTCCATCTTGCTTATCAACCTTCTGAGCCATACTACATGACAGACGCACCAAGATGCTGCCACATATTCAGTTTCACACGTCGAAAGTGTTACTATAGGTTGTTTCTTCGATAGCCAAGTAAATGTTGTGTTTCCCATGAAAAACACATATCCAGAAGTGCTCTTTCGATCGTCTATGTCTCTGCATCAGTCACTGTCAGAATAACCAACTAACTTGTAGTCTTTTGTTTTTGAATAAAATATTCCAAGTGATACTGTTCCTTGGATGTATCTTAGAATTCGTTTCAGTGCCTTTCAATGTGTGTGTACTGGCTCCTCCATGAATCAACTTACAATGCCAACACTTAGTGAAATGTCTGGCCTTGTGCATGTGAGATATTGAAGTCCACCTACCAAGCTTCGATATTTGCTTCCTTCAACCCGTTCTCCTCCATCAAACTTTGACAGTTTTGCACCTGGTTCCATTGGCGTCGAGGTTGGATTGCAATTCTTCATTTTATATTTTTATAGGATTTCCTTTGCATATTTTTATTGTGAGATAAAGATTCCAGCTTCTTCTTGTCGAACCTCCAACACAGCGCCTCCTCATATGCTCCAAATCAAGCTTATGTCGCCAACACAGCGCCAACCTTCTCATATGCTCCAACATATATTCAAGCTTCCATGCATACTCTCTCACTTTCTACTCCTGATGATCAGTGGTACATGGACACCGGAGCAACCTCGCATATGACGGCCAACAGAGGTAATCTCTCGTCCTATTTCAATATGAGTAATAATATTACTGCCGGTAGTGGTCAAAATATTCCTGTAATTGGTTGTGGACATGCATCATTACCAAATTCCCTTCATTTACTAAAATTACCTAATGTTTTACATGCACCAAAACTCATAAAAAATCTTATCTCTGTTCGTAAATTTACCATAGATAATGATGTGTCGGTTGAATTTGATCCTTTTGGTTTTTCTATGAAGGATTTTCAGACAGGAATACTGTTAATGAGATGTAACAGTTCTGGTGACCTCTATCCCATTGCCACAAGACCACCTAATAAAACCTTACCACCATCCACCTTTGCCGCAATATCCACAGAATTATGGCACAACCATTTAGGACATCCAGAAGCTAATATCTTAAATTCTCTACACAGAGACAACTTTCTCCAATGTAATAAGTCTCAGAACAATTACTTTTGTAATTCATGCCCTCTTGGAAAACAAATAAAATTTCCCTTTTATAGCTCTGTGTCTCGTACTTTTATGCCTTTTGATATTGTGCACAGCGACCTCTGGACTTCACCAATTCTTAGTTCAGAAGGTCATCGTTACTATGTGTTATTTCTTGACGATTACACAAATTTTTTAT